AGTTTTATCTCCTTAAGGAGCTCTCCCCTTTCTTTCCCTCCCTTCTACGTGTTTCCCTGGCTGTCTATCTGCTCACTTCATTCATCAGTATTGTGGATACATTCACTGGATGAGTTCAAGTGACATAAAAAGAGTCTGTATTTGTTGTCCTTGTTTATCACATTTCTATTTTTGGGGAAATTCCATAAGGCCTTGTGTCTGTGTTTACTCTTTGCAAAAGCTATAAGCTTCTCTTTTGTAAGGACATGAACATCCCTTTGCTGTTTGTAAAGACAATATTTTGTTTTGTTTCATGTTTCGTTTTGTGTTTTTCTCTTTCGGTTCCCAACGCTCCTAGCCTGTCAAGTACAAGTGTGTATTTGAGGAATTGTTATCTTTTAAAAGTGACTTTACTTACAATACAAGCAGAACATCTGACCTCAAAACTCGCACATCTTCTTCCCATCATGAAAGCATGGATGCAAAGAACCATGGAATTACACGCATCAGTGAAAACAAATCATATGCTGTTCAGAGTGAGTTAATCAAAGGTGAGTGGACGTACTATACATAAATAGTAACATGTGTGTCCACACTGGGGCTCAAACAGTTTCATATACGCAAGCCCTCATACATGGAGACACACATTGAAAAACATGAACCATATTCTTCATGGGATGGTCACAGCACACTCAATGATCACTGTGAATCCTCTTGTGCGTCACCCAGCATGTCACAGTCGGGCCATCAGAAACCCTGGAGAGCAAAGACACGCTATCTACTTTTCTGTGCTGCTTGCTGTCACTTTCCTATCTCTTCTCTCCGCTGTTCCTCTCTCTCTCTCTCTCTCTCTCTCTCTCTCTCTCTCTCTCTTTGTATCTCTTTTCCACACACTCACACACACTGTCAGCAGTGTATTATTGGAGGGTAATTAGTGTCCACCACTCGCTCCCAGGCTCATCCTGTTAAGCACATGCCTGATCAAAGAGCCCCCCACAGGCCACGGCTTTCTGCAGCTTTCGGCTCCTGTAGCCACGAGAGACAGGGACAGACTCGCTGGTTGCCTTGCTAATTCTAAATCAATGTGGTTATTTAAGGGTGAAATGCATGACTGCTTGACTTGACTTCATCCACGTCAGAACAAAGCCTCATCACTTTGATAGCAAGTCACGAAAAGATGGGATGGAAAAAAGAACGCCTGGTAAAATGAAGCGCATCTGTCAAGCTGATTTCATGTGATGTTCATCATCAGAGGCGAAGACAGTTCTGTCCACAGTGATTAACAACTCTATTCTGAAGCTTGAGACAAGTTAATTGATCCTAGAAAAGACATTTGGTTGGTAGCTAGCAGCGTGGCTCTACAGAAGGGAAATCAGTGTTTATTGATTCCCCACTTTGGCCCATTTCTAAAATGTAAACTACTATGAATTTGCTTCTTTTTTTGAATTTGCTTTTTTTTTGGATACAGGTATTAATTATGCCAAGATAATAATAATAATAATAATAATAATAATAATAATCTTTATTTGTTTAGCACCTTTCATGCAACAAGTGCAGTCCAAAGTGCTTCACATAGACATTTCACAGAAAATGTATCTCACACAGAATACAGACCAGTAAAAGACATCAAAACAAACTCAAAATTGCATCAAGTAGACATATATAAAAAATACAATTAGATTAAAGGTAAAACAATACAATTGTGCATTAAAAGGAGAATAGTGCAAATTCAACACACAATCAGGTGACAGGTTCAAATGCATCGCAATGCATTTAGAAAGTGCAGCATAGAGCAGGAGTTTGCTTCCTAAAAGGCTAACTTATACAAATGTGCTTTGAGTTTCTTTTTTTTAAACTTCCACCGAGCTGGCTTCCCTGATGTCTACAGGTATTTTGTTCCATAGCTTTGGGGCATAGTTAGAAGATAAAGATGATTTATCCTAATGACTTTGTTGAACTAGCTAATAAAGGGCATTGCCATACCCCCTTCAGAATCAATTGTAATAGTTCAAGTGATTCCTTAACCTTTAATTTAGCTACTTTTCATGTCAAAATTCCATTTCTATTACTTTTAATTATTACCAAACACCTGTAAAACTAATGACATCATCGACATCTGCATTTTTATTTACTGCAAATGTGAGCATATTACCACTTTAAACTAAGATGTTGAACATTGTTAACAGTATACATGCTTAAACTCGGTATGTTAGCATTGCCATAATAGCTTGTTCGCATACTAACACTAGTATTTAGCTCAACGCAACGCAGTGCCCATTAACTTTAAGGTTAATTACGCAGTCACTGCCTTGTATTTTCACACCGAAACTTATAAAGGCTCCATGTGCACACACTCTCTTGCATTCAATGCCAAGAGAGTGTGTGTGCTTAAAAGCATGTGAGGTGAAAGGGCAAAGGTTATAATGAACTTCCTTTTTTAAATTAAGTCTCTTCTTTGGAGGAACAAAGTAGGGAATTAGAGGAGTGACTGCCAACAGAGAAAAAAAAATATTGGCTTAATTTTGTCTGGCCTCAGTGAACAAAAGGTCCAATTAATTGACTGATTATAATTGCCCTGGTTTCCCCTCAGCCAATTAGAGGCTTAGACAACTTTATATGAGTGCAGCGAATCGCAGAGTAGCGGGCAGTTTTCAAGGCAGGTACCAAGAGCTGAAATTACACAAGCGTCTCAGGAGAGAGGCCTTTTCATTAAGCTTTAAAACTCTATGTTACTGACCTCAGGAAACTTCTTGAGAGTTTTGAAGCCACTAAAGTATAATGCAAATTCCTACCCGTAGAGAACTAGATCTGACAGGTCATTCATTTGTAGTCAGTTAACTTCTTATATTAATCCTGCCTGTTACTAAAGTAAGATAACAATCCCCAAATTGTTCAGGCTACATTATCTTCATCATGATGGGGAGACTGATCGTGATGGTGAGTTTGTGGAAAGCTATGCAATGAAAATGTTTGAGGGAATAAACATGATGAGGGAAAAAGCTGTGCGGCCTGATTTCCATTTACCTCTGCGCCTTGATGAATAACTTATACCTCGGCTGGTATGCACCCTGCAGTGTCTGAACTCCAAATATGAAGTAATAATAATTTAAATGTAGGTGCATGTGCCCTGGCTTCAGCGTTCTGTTCATTTTTCATTCATGCAGGACAAAATATTGTCCGGACTGTATTAAGTCAGTGTTTTATGTGCACCAGATGTTGCGATTATGTAAGTGTTGTGGGTGTTTTTGAATTTTAAGTTGTAAAATGAGTCTGCCCCTGAGCTGTGTTGGTCCCCTGTGAGGTAGATGAAATCAGTAAACTGTAAAAATAAAGTGTGTTCACTGCATTTCTATATCAATGCTACAGTATACATGTTTTAGATTCAGACTGCTCTTAAAATAAACTAACAAGGGATACACTTTAATTACATTTTTATTTCCCCAGACCGGGCAAGTCTGATTTTGTAAACATGAGCAAATGAACGAAGTCTCTTAAAATGAGAAACCAGACAGACTGTAATCTGAGTTGTCTGCAAGATATTCATCTATGTGTACTCCCAATGGCAATAAATGGACCAACAGCTTTATGACTTCCCTGTATGGAAAGTTATTATTACATATTTGTTTCAGTATATAGGTTTTTCAAAAAAGTCACATCTTACTGAAAGTCCATTTGTATAGAGTGCGTGGGTTTTATAGTGTCTTATGACAGTGGAAGGCATATTACCAATAGCACATTACTCGTAGTAAAGTCCAGAAATGCTATCTTCGTTCACAGGAAAAACATTGAAGGGTAAGGTTTTGAACCATCTTTTAAAGAGTTAACTGACCTGTGCCGAGAGAAAGTTTCCCATTAAAGGAGCATGTTTTATTTAGTTGTTGCAAAGGAAGAAAACCATTTCACTGAATGGGGCTGTGTGTCTAAATGGTCTGTGACCCATTTGTTCTTTTGGTAAAAACACATTCTCTGCCTTATCTGAGATGGTTCACACAGCTCTGAAAGCGCAGTTGGATGGTTTGGGAATGGGTTGAAAAGTGTCTGCGTCACTTCATAGATTTGAAAGCTGAGTGGTTGGCCGCCGTCTTTAACAAACAAACCACTCAGCTGGAAATCCAACAGCATACAGTTAGACAGACGATGTTTGAAGGGCGGACTTGGAAATGCCAAACTTACCAGTCACTCAGAATAAACACCTAACAGAGAAAGGAGGCTGTTCAAGAATGAAAATCGACCAAAGAGGAACATGAAACATGAAAGATTGGACGAACACAGAGAAACTGAAAGGAAGATAAAATATCTTCTATGATAACATACTGAATAGAGTTGGTATTGCTGATTTTATGCTGGTGGAGGGTGAGAGCGCGTGCTGTCCCAAGTGAGGAAACGTTTTCTGCTCGGACAGGCGTGGGTCAATGTGCCATCTCAGGCACCAGTGTTACTAAGGGCAGTTTTCCACACATGACCTTCAGAACTGTCTTATCAAGCCTCCAAACCACTTCTTCAGACACACACTGGCCATTGGCCCACCTCTTTGTTTAGCTATAAGTAACTCGTGTTTGGAGATTTTGTAAAAGCTTGCAGGCTTTGTCTTTCTTCTGCAAACAGGCAGTAAAAACGCCTCTAAAAACACCCTTTGAATCACAGCCCTCACTCCATCCAGAACAAAGAGGTATTGATTAAACAGTTAAAGGGTTGTTTCATCTAAATCAAACTTAAATATGTGTTCCATTTCCCCACAACCCTCAGTGGTATCTAGATGCAGCCTTTAAATTAAACATCTTATTGAAAGAAGTCTGTACCTTTTTAATATGCTGTAATTCAGTACAGTCTGAGATCTTTTGTAGTTAGCATCTGGTGCCATAAGAGAACTAAAACTTAAGTAACTTCTGCATTTGATCGATGAACCCCGTTAAAATGTTTCCCTTTTCTCATTGTCTCTAAACATCCAAGGTATGTAGGGGTTTCAAAATCAAAGCCATATATTTAGTGGTTTAACTCTGTTTTCTCCTTTCTGTCATTAGGCTGTTTTTCATCTAAGGGGGAGGACAGATTATTTCGGAGATTGTTCAGGAGGTACAACCAGTTCATCCGACCAGTGGAGAATGTATCTGATCCAGTCACCGTGGAGTTTGAGGTCTCCATGTCCCAGCTGGTCAAAGTGGTAAGAGTAGAGAATAAACTCATTGTTTCTTACTTAAAAAAATTAAAATGTTCTCTTCACCAATTCTCCCTTTATGTCTTCACAGGATGAGGTGAATCAGATTATGGAAACCAATCTGTGGCTGAGACATGTGAGTAATATTTATCCTTTGTGTGACATCATTACTGATATATTACATCATATTTTTACTCATGCTCAGTTTGGTTGGTCTTTTAGGTCTGGAACGACTACAAGCTGAAATGGGCCCCTATTGAGTACGATGGGATTGAGTTCATACGAGTTCCATCCAATAAAATTTGGAGGCCAGATATTGTTTTGTATAACAAGTAAGTTTGAGTGCACAAATACACACATAAAAGAAGTTATATTTTTTTGTACATGGTATTTGTATTTATCCATGCTCTACATCTAATGACCTTTTGTGTTAGTGTTGTAATGGCCTCTAAGTGAAATGACATTTACATCTCTCAAAGTGCTGTAGGTGACTTTCTTGTGGAAGACAAGACCAAGGCTCTGCTGAGGTTTGATGGCACCATCACCTGGGTTCCTCCAGCTATTTTTAAATCCTCCTGCCCCATGGACATCACCTACTTCCCCTTTGACTACCAGAACTGCTCCATGAAGTTTGGCTCCTGGACATACGACAAGGCCAAGATCGACCTGGTGCTGATTGGCTCAAAGGTTAGTGACAGGGGACAGATCAGGGCCATTTATGTTCCACATGGCATGTTTATAACACAATACGCTTTGTTTTTGTGAGGACTCAAAGACATTAAAAGGAAGGTTTCAGTACTGAGTCACACCTACGCGTTTATCTGCTCATATGATCTAGTCATTCTAGTGAGACAAATTGGGAACAACTTCTATCAAATCCTTTCACTTTAATGCCAAAATATATGAACCAGTTAAGCCCCATGCCCCGGGGGCATGTCGCAACATCTTGCAAGAAACAGCGTCTGAGGGCTTCTTAACATTTAATAAAGTATGAATGTGTCATACCCACTTAACGGGAAGAAACTCAGCTTTCAGACAATATTAACAATTGTTAGCAAAACGAAACATAAGAGTAATAACAAAGGCTCTGAATTAGCCCTGAGCGAATTAGCACAGAACTCAAGGTAAAATACCCTTATTACTGATCGGATCTGCACAAACAATATATCGATTAGCAAGCTGAGATTCCACAGATTCCAGACATATACTGTAAGTATCATCACTGAGCGACAGGGGAAGCGAAAACAGACATCACAACACGTAGCTTCACGGAGGAAACACAGAGATATTCTTACCTTAGCTGTTGTTTTACTAGTTTGAGCCTAGGTTTCAGTTTTCAGTTTTCAGAGCGTAACATAGCTTTCGACTGCGTGCGCGTCACACTCACTCCTCAATGGTAACGTGTGTGTATGTGGAACTTCACCTTCGATTCTATTGGCTCTAACGGTTCAAAAGAGATGTCAAAAATTGACCAATGGGTTCCAAAGAAACAGCAAATCCACCCAAATGACCCCAAAGGTGTTTTTTTGTTGTTGCTAAACCTCTCTAAAAAGGTCAAATGCCACTTGTTTTGCATCAATCTTGATACAGGGTACTTATTATATGTTATAGTTTGGATTCCTAAAGCTTTTAGTCTACTATCCCATCATTCAAGGGTGGTTTTCACTATAAGTAATGTTTTTTTTTTGGACTGACACTATAATTTACATTTTTTTACTATGTTCAATCTGAATTTACTTTAAAATAAAAAAAATCTATATTGATTCTGACTTTCATCCAACTCACAGGTTTGTCATTGCTTTGAGAAAAAATATTAATTTACCCCTTTTAGAAGTGAAGTTATAGTCATTTGTTCTGGGCATGTCATTTTCGAGCCTGAGGCCTGAAAAACAGGCTCGGGGCTTAACTGGTTTTAAGAGAGATGTTACAATTTCTAGACCCCTTTTGAATATTTGTGCTATCCACTTCTTATGTCTTTTTAAACTGATTTCTTGTAGTGTAAAAATCTTTGTTTTTAAAATGTAGTTTTCCTCCAAATAACTGCCATTCACATTCCATTTGCATTTCCTCAGGTGAACTTGAAAGACTTCTGGGAAAGTGGAGAGTGGGAGATCATCGACGCTCCAGGATACAAGCATGACATCAAGTACAACTGCTGCGAGGAGATCTACCCGGACATCACCTACTCCTTCTACATCCGCCGCCTGCCACTCTTCTACACCATCAACCTGATCATCCCCTGCCTCCTCATCTCCTTCCTCACGGTGCTGGTCTTCTACCTCCCGTCTGACTGCGGCGAGAAGGTCACCCTCTGCATCTCCGTCCTCCTCTCCCTCACTGTGTTCCTGCTCGTCATCACCGAGACCATCCCTTCCACGTCCCTCGTCATCCCTCTGATCGGCGAGTACCTCCTCTTCACCATGATTTTTGTCACGCTCAGCATCGTCATCACTGTCTTTGTGCTGAACGTCCACTACCGCACCCCCATGACTCACACGATGCCGGACTGGGTGAGGTCCGTGTTCCTCGGGGTGTTGCCCAGGGTGATGCTGATGAGGAGGCCAATCGACCAGGGCTGCTCCACCACTGCCAATATTGCGGTAACAGGAGGAGGAAGGAAGAAGAGAAAGACCAGCATAGGAAGTAGTTCAGGAAGTGTTATTATTGGCGGTATAACTGGGGGTGTAGCGTTTCCACCCACAGATGTTGGGGCAGGAGGCGGGGCTGCATCAGCGAGTGCTTCAATGAACTGTGTGGAGTATGGCGAGGTTAACCGAGACAAGAACCGGGACATTAACAGGAGATGTCCCTACAGAGGCAAGGAGGTACCGACTCCTGTCCCTCCCCCGATGGTTCCGCCACCTCCTCCCCCCCCTCCTCCTCCTCCTCCACCTCCCCCGTCCTCACAGGCGACCCCGACCCAGGCGCCCAAGGAGTCGGAGATACCCAAGGTGCCGAGGCCAGTGAAAGCCCCTTCACCTATCAGCGCTGTCGTTGCCTTCTCCGTGGTGTCGCCAGAGATCAAGCAGGCCATAGAGAGCGTGAAGTACATCGCAGAGAACATGAGGACTCGCAACAAAGCCAAAGAGGTACGAAAGCAAGCTTGAGTTTACGGTGTTGAGTATGTCTAATATGTTGCGGCAGAGGTCTAATAACCTTGATCAAATGTATCTACAAAAGCATTCAAATATACTGATTGTGTGAATGATAAATCTGTAGATTGGTAGTGTTTGCAAGTGACTGTGTGAATTATGTGGTGGTGTGTGGGGTACATTTAAGATAAACAATTCAGGACAAAACACAAGGAAGGTGTGGTGCAGAGTATGTATTCACCCAGAGCCTAGAGGCCTAGATGACTAACTGCAACTTGTCCTAATGCCAAAAAATAATTTGCTAACCTTGAGTTTTTTCCCCAACATTGGGGAAAGCACACATTTAGTCCCCAGCATGTACAATACACACACATATAAACATATGATAACAGAGCTTTATTGTGTATGTGTTATCTCTGCAGCATGTGTGTTTCTACCTAGCTAAAGGAAAGAGTGAAAAGCATTTCCCTGTGCTATAAAGGGAGTGTAAAGCTGCTTGTTTGTTGCAGATGGATGGCTTTGCGTACGCTTCCTGCACACTCTGCATGGCCCTGATATGTTTGTTGCTTCAGCTCCATCTTTTCTTAGCAAAGCTGGGATCTTTCTTTTATGCATGCTGAATAGCCTCCTCTATAGGACACAATGGCATTATGGTCAGGGCAGCCATCATCCTATTGTCCACACCTGGCTGATCAAAGAATACTCTTTTACACACACACACACACACACACACACACACACACACACACACACACACACACACACACACACACACACACCACACACACACACACAACACACACACACACACACACACACACACACACACACACACACACACACACACACACACACACCCTTTATACCCATACGGCTGTAGTGTTGATACAGTGACATCATAGCATGGTCGAGCACGATAAAAGTTAATAGAAATCATATTAGCCTCAAAACACAACTCTTTTTACATATTCCATGACCAAAAAGGAGAAGGGAGAATAACTCAATCTTATTTGACCCTTACCAAAAACAAATAGACGATGGAGAAATATGGTATGACAGACATTTCATAATTACCATTAAGCAGATTTTTCAGAAGCATAGTGGGTTTGTGTGATTTGTGATATTTTGTACTTTTTCTACTTACTTGCTAACATATTTTTTTCCTTATTCTCCTCAGGTGGAGGACGACTGGAAGTACGTCGCCATGGTCATCGACAGGATCTTCCTGTGGGTTTTTGTGACAGTGTGTATTTTGGGAACAGTGGGACTCTTCCTCCAGCCGCTCATCAGCTTCTTTCAATGAGACACTCGTCTTTGCCCCTTTTCTCTCTCTCTCTCCCTCTCTTTTTGTCTACTTCAGTCTGTCTCTGTGCCCCACTTGAAATACTTTGGGAATAATCCCTCCTGCAGCTCTTTCAAATCAAACACTGAACTGTCTTCTTTTTCATTTTGCGGCGTTTTGTCTCTCCATGCTTTCCTCTGGGAGTCCAAAATCAGCCATCACTTCTAGCTCTCAGCTGTTTCCTCACATGACTTACCCTGATTTCCCCATCACATCTTTGTCTTGCCCTCTCAATGGGCCGGCAATGCTGTTATTCAGTCTCTTCTCCACAGTTTTTTTTTTCTGACATGATTATCACATCTGCGTTCCTTTCAGATTTTCTCCTCTTCTGTGCCATCATTTTTTGACCTACAGCTTATTTCTTCACAGTAGTCTCCTGTCTCCACTTTCGTCCAATCTTCTATGCATTTCCATTGTGTGTATTTTACTGAGATTTCTACTCAGTCATTGTTATTGTACAGTCTTATACAGTATGTTTAACAATGTCAGGTCTTAATTAAATACAATGTTATTATAATTGCTTTAGAATAACCTATAAACATCGCTGAGAAAGAAGAACCTGAATACCTTTGTGAGTTTCGCAGTAGGATTTTAAGATGTGCATTAATGACGAGACAAATCCTGATAGCGGTAATAATATGTTGTGATATGAAGGTCATTTGATGGCTGGCACTTTTTCTTCAGGATTTTCTTTTTCTGTTGTCTTCTTTGTTTTCCTGTAAATACATTTGTAAAATACAAAGGAGATATGCATGGCTCCTGAGAAGGATGCTGGCTGTAGAAACTGTTTGTGTTATCCACATGTGCTCACACTAAGTATAATAATGCATCACACATTAATTCACACCTTCACTGCAATCTGTATAGAAACACGTTGAACTGCACAATGTAGATTAAACTTGTAAGAATATATAAAAAGCCAAACTGTCTTATGTTATTTAATAATAAAGAAGGTCCTGGATTCAAGTCTTCCTGTATCCTTGAGTGTTTCATCTGTTGCTTAAGATTCCTATTGTACTACTGAGATTGGTCCTATCACCCATAACATAGTGAGACGGTACAAAAAGCAGATGGATGGATTTGGACAAGAAAGGATGATATGTATAAAAAAAAATTCTTTAAATAATTCTAAGCCAATGTATTTAAAACCAATCAGATTTTAAATTAGTTCACCAACAGCTTTAATCACAAATATTTTTATGAATCTGAACTTTTGTGTAGCGGTTTTATACTATTTGCAAATTCAATCAAAAAGAGCATAATCTTGCAAAGCAGTACAGACTTTCATTGTTGACTTCTTCCACTTTTTGAAGTGTCGGTTTTAGCGAACAGCACAGGAGCCAAAGATCTGTCAGTGGCAGATGGATGATACTGGTGTCTTTTGACTCATTGTATAACAATATCATTTATATATAACAAACAATTACAAAACACAAAGATTGCGTCTACATCTTTGTGTTGTTAAGTGGAAGTAAAAAAATACAATCAATGTCCAGTACAAATGAAAGAGCAAAACTTTGAATAGGAATCTTCTCTGAGAAAATATGTGTGAAGAACTGTATGACTATTGCTCAGTCACTCACACACAATGCTTCTTTAAAGCAAGACATTTCAACACCAGCTCCTGCAGCTGGGTCTCACAATTACAGATCATTGTTGTAGCGGGTAAATGGCTTTGTAATAGACCTAACTCAATGAGTCTGTGGCCGCTGGTCACTGAGGAAGACAAAGACAGCAGGACCAAAGCATTAGATATGGGACGCGTGCACAGGAGAGAATAGAGATGATCTGTTCTATGTAAGTAATGAATATGTTTTATTTTATCTAATTAAATCTAATGATCTTTAAATATATAATTATATGTTTTCTTATAGTTACTATCACTTTCTTAGCTTACTTCTTAGCAACCACGTACTGTTTGATATGTTTTACAACTATTATGTAAGAAAACAATTGCAATTCTTTTTTATAATCATCCAGCAGGTTTAGTGTAAACTGTAGACTTTGATGTGTACTTTAAAGAAAGAGCTCGGACACACAGTCACAAATACTGGTGCACGATTGGTGAAGTGGCCAAAGCTGCGTCTCTAAAGCAAAAGCACAGCAAAGCATTTTTCCTTTGAAGCTCCACTCTTTTTCTGACTTATCCTTCTTTCCCTGTATCAAAGGTCACGGGTGAGACTGAATGTGCCTGTCAGCACTGTCACACACACACACACACACACACACACACACACACACACACACACACACACACACACACACACACACACACACACACACACACACACAGTCCTTTGCTCTCCGGCCACATTGGAGTCTGACTCTCTGAATTGGTCCACCCTGTGGCTCCCAGCAGCCCCTCACACCTAATCCTTGTAGAAAGTACTGAATGAGCATTTTCACATTTCTGTTTGTGTGTGTGTGGTAAAGAGGAAGAGGAAGATTACACATGTCACCTGAGGAGGTGAGAATGAGAAACAGCGAGAGTGTGGGATGTTGACAGTGTCCACTCAGCAGCATGGATCTTGCTATGCGGATTATGGCATGGATTTAGTCTGGTTATAAATATGGAGATGCAGCAGCAGCTGTACAGCAGCCGCACATGGTATCCCATCAGTCTCAGTCTGCCGCCTGACAGGGTCACATCAGCGCCTGGCTGACACCGAATGAAGAGATCAGCCAGAGAAGCAGCTTCTCCAGCTATATTTGGACAACATTTGAGTGATTCAAGCAATTTTCCTCGACGGCTCTCCACCAACTTATTAAGTTACCCTTCACACTATCAACAGGAAATGAACTGGTAAACAAGCCAACTCTCCCAATCCTCCTACAAACAGTGTACAAAGACATTAATGGATGCCACTTGTAATATTATGAGAAAGAAACACCAATCAGTTACAACTAGAAAGCCTCAGCCACTTAAATCGGTATTTGTAATGTTGTGAGTTTGCCACAGCTGTAGATCTTTCTTGAATGATTGAACTTCAAGCACATGGGGCAGTTGGACCGAAGCAGGGCACAGCAAAGCTTTGGGTGCTAAATTAAGGGTTAATACATTATTGAGCCAGCCACATGTATGAATATTTTAAACGATTCTTCACTGTTGACACCGACTGCTAGCATCAAGCTCCTGGATAGCACGACTCAAGAATGACCGACTTATCGCAGCACGTGTGAGTGTCGGATCTAATTTCAGTTGCTCTTTGGGATCATACTTTTGATAAACATATTATGTTATATGCTTGAGTTGTTTTACACATTTTTGGCAATTTTGTACAGTATACACCTTGGGTATTCAATTAAAAACCTTGTACTTTCCCCTCTCTCTTCATACATGTCCGTTTCACTCTTTCTAGTTGTTAGGGATCCTATCTACCAAAAAGCAAATCTGCAATATGAAGAATTCCGCAGTGGACCACAGGAGCATGCTGGGATATGTTAGGGTGGGGTTGAAGGGTAACATAGGGGCATATCACATAGGGGTGGGTGGTGACCATAGTCTCTTATGTCGTCAGGAGCAGAACGTTACGTGCCAGCGGCCAGTCGACCGTGGATAAGTAAAAGAGACTCTCCTCTAAATAATTCATTCCAATGGGAGCCTTCTGAGCACACACACACACACACACACACACACACACACACACACACACACACACACACACACACACACACACACACACACACACACACACACACACACACACACACACACACACACACACACACACACACACACACACACACTCGCAGGGTCCTTCTCATAAATGGTTGCTTCTTGAAGTAGAAGACTGCAACCCACACTCACACATGCTCAGAAAGAGCAGGCTTCTAATTTTACTCTATGATGAATATTTATAGTCAGATGAAGAAACATTGTCTTAAAAATAAGAAAGAGCATTTTAGTGGAACAACAGAAAATGCTTCTGGCCCTTTTTCAGGGTTTGAGAGCACTTTTAGAGAAATGCCTTGATAAATAAAGGAGCAATATGAATGACTTTGCTGCATGTTGATTTATCTCTCAGAATTTCTTGCCATCTTTGTGTGACCTGTGCTGTTTGAACAGGAGAGGTGGGCAGCAGGGCACAGGAAAATAAATGCATAATCATAAAAACATTGCCCCTCTGTATCACTCTAAAATATCAGTGGGCCAGAAATATTGTAGTTTAACATTTTACGAAATAGGCTTGTTAGGTTTTTTAGCTCTGTACAATGCATTCATACCTTCTGCTGAATAACTAGAGAGACATTTGTTTATACAGCAACCCTGTGAGATGCTTTGCACAGCTGAGTTAAATGTTGTGTTTATTTGTGTGTGTTCGTGTGTGTGTGTGTGTGTGTGTGTGTGTGTGTGTTACCCTTCTGGTACTACAAAACACCATCTAAATTTAAAAAAAAGTTAATTTAATAATACAGCTTCTCAAATTTGCTTTGAGTCTTGTTTTAACATTCAGGACTTTAACATGATCTGGTGGAGGAAAAAGCAAGGAAGGAGTCAATTATGAAGAAAGAACAGACACAACATTTTGGTAAAGGGAACCAAGAAAAGGTTGGTGTTAATTCAGGGATTTCATCGTACGTCTTCTTATGAAACTCATGATGAACAACATTTGGACTGGTTTTTTTTGGGCCACAACAACTGTTCCCATTACATTTGCTATTAAAAATCGACAATGTGTGTTGGAAGCCAGGGTGAGGATGAAAATACAATGTGAAATCTGCCAAGAGCTCAGTGGAGTCAGGACTTTTCTGATGGCATCGCTGAGATGTGAATGTGACACACTGCATATGTGGGTGCGTGACAGGAGTTGCCTCATTATCTTTCCGTCTTGTCCAGAGGCAATTGAAGGTTACACAACATTTCTGTTACTCCAGATGAGAAGAGGAGACGGATCTCTCTTGGGAGAGCAGGCACTGTGAACTCCTCATGGGCACTGACACACAGAGATAGACACCGAGAG